TTTGGTTTTTGATTTCTTGATGATAGAAAACCTAGGGTTTGATATAGTTTGAATTTTTTAAAGATTTTAATTGATTATTTAGTTTTTAATGAAGTTAATGATGTTGGAATAATAACTGTATGATTTAGATTTTGCCCAGATAATTGATTAGAACTTGGCTGAAGAGAGAGCGGATGGAATATATATTTAATTTTTTTTAAAATTAAATAGAACTTGACTTCTGACCAAAAAAATTGGTTGAAGAGAGAGATGATGGGACAGATATTTTTTTTATGTTAAATAGACTATGTACGTTTTTGACAAAAAAATTTTGAAACTCGATACTAATCAAGTAAGTTTTAAATTTGTAGTATCTAGATAAATATTATTAAAAGTGTAGTATTGTGAGAAATAATTTTTTTTTATAGTAAGAAAGTCAATTTACCCATGTGTCCTTGATTTGAAATTGCTTTTACTAAGGAAATACTGTTTGCAGGTCTCATCTTTTTGACTATCATCCTTTTTCAGATGAGACATTCAAGTATAGCTATTTTTTTTTTTAAAAAAGACAATATTGTGGTGAATATTTCCCGTGCTCGTTAAACAATAAAATCTCATAATTATTTCCTCTGAAAAATTTAAACAACAAATTCACTTTTTATTGATTTTAATTCGTGCCCATCCACTGGTGTTCGATTGGTAGCCGCCAGCCGGTGGAGATCTTTGAGTTTAAACACTTCAACTATTGATTTACTCAATCAATTGACATTTGTGACAAATAATTTCTTATCCCTTCTTTAAAAAAAATAAAGAGAATAGAGAAGAAATGCACCTTTTAATCTTGCGAATAGCTCAAGTCATCCATAAAATTCTAGCATAAAAGAGCAGGAAAAGTTTCTTATAATTTTGTTTTTGGGTCCACGAAAGGATCCAATAATTTGGGAAACAGGATCTCTCTACTTTTTTTTCCTCTACTTCTTTCCATTTCTCACATCTCCACCATTTATTAATTTTATTATTTAAAAAAATTATTTAATAAAATAATTTGAATGATAAGGATGGGAGAAGTGGAGAGAAATGAATGAAAAAAAAAAAAGACCCTCTCCCAATAATTTGATCCCATTTTGAGATTCTGGAATATACAGTGCAAACTTCACCGTTTCTTGTTCATCATTTTTTTTAAATATAAACAGGCAAAAGGGAACAAGAAGGTAAGAACAACCCTAGAATATTTAAAATCATAGGTCACGAATATTTAAATATTCGTGAGGTTCTTTCAATTGTCGCGCGGAGAGACCCCTGGTCCATGTTTTCTTCCTTTATGAATGTTGGAAGAGGATATTTTATCATGTTAAGTTGCGAACATACTCCTCTAAAAAAATGAAAAATTAATTCTTTTAAAGAAAATTTCCATAAAATCTTCCATTGAGAAGGAAATTGTTTTGAGGGACTAAAATTAATTTGAAAATCAAATACATACTAGGCCCGTCACCTTGCATGCTAAGCCTATAAACAATTGTCCTCTTGAAAAGGAATTTTATGGCAATTTTTTCTTCTTTTAAATCCCATCTATTTTTTGAATTGTAATGGGAAGTTATGATGTATATAGTTAATTTTTTAAATGAGATTCTAATTTTTAAATAAAAATTAAAATTAAATTCAGATACACATAGAGTTGGGAATAGAAATAGTGAATTTTTAGGGTAACAAGCTTCTAGCCCCAACCCTGATAAGTCGTAAAAAAATAAATTTGAGCTCAGATAGCCTTCAAGCTCAGTTCTAATTTTTTTTCTTTTTATCTTGAAACATATCGTTTGGCAAATGAGAAAAAACCCTAAGCATCCAATCCTTCCAAATTCTCTAGCCTTCTTTGTCTCCAAACTCGACCTCTCCCTCTTGCCCTCTCTTTTCCTCTAGATGTCTCACATCTCCCTCTCATCGTTCTACTCGCCCTACAGCTCTCTTTGTCTCTTGACTTACTTCTCCCTCTCGTCTCTTGATTCAACATTTCTCGACTCGCTGTCTCTCTATCAATGTTTTATTGCTTTGGCTTTTTGGCTCTTTTATTCCCAAGTAATTCCTCTTTTGATAGACTTTTTTTTTTTAGGTTATAGATGTTCAAGATTTTCAATTTGATGCTCATTTTTAAGATTTCAGTTTGATTTAAAAATTGTAATCCCTTGTCTTATTCTGTGAAGATTATATCGATATACCTCATTTATTTTGTTTCTAAAACTTTGTTGTGAATTATGATGGTATCAATTAACATATATTTATACTTTTAAATTTTTTTATTTATTTTTTAGATGATGTGAGACTTTAATTTAGTTTATGTTAAATTTTAAAATTAAATTATAATATTAAATATTATGATATTAAATTAAATTATTTTTTAAAAGAATATCATTAAATTATAATATTAATTTTGTTTTAAAATTGGACAATGTTAGGCTTCAAAATTCAATCAAAATTTAAGAAATTACACTTTAAGGCCAAGTCCTTAAAAGCTAGGCCCTGAGCCGGGTTGCTCATTGTGCCATCTTTAGATGCATGTCTTAGCTAGCATAAAAGGGAATCCGCAGTCTCTCTCCAATAATGGGAGTGGATGGAATGAAATGCCACTTTTGTCCTCTCATCAAGTCTGCCTTCTTCATCTTCAGCTTCGAAAAGAAACAGCTCAAGCTTCAAGTTCGTCTCATCAATCTTAGTTTGTTGCTTTGTGCCTTCTAATTCGTTTGATGCGTCGGACGACCCAAAGATTCCAACGTGGAGCCCGTGGTGTACGATTTCCATGAGTGCAGAGGAATAACGCGGAAAGAGGAAATTCCGAGGAAATTTCAAAAGGGATAATAATAATAATAATGATAATGATAATGATAATAATAATAATGATACATGCTTGAGGCTCAAGACCTGCCTTAGACTCAAGCATTCCCACTTGGTGCTCATTACTTTTCGCCTTTCATGATCTCTCTCATTTATTTAATTTAATTTTTAAATATTTTTAATATTTTATTTATCAATATCAAATTATAAAAAATATTAATATTAAATTTGGACTGTCTAAAATACATATAGATAATAAACTTATAAAAATTATAAAAAATTTAATATTAAATTAGATTATCTAAATTATATCTGAATTGTCCAACAATAGTACTTCTTAGTAATCAAATTATAAAAATTATAAAAAAATTTAATTTTAAATTGAACTGTTCAGATTAAATTTGTGTGGGCTAAATTGATGATAAACAAATTGATTAAAAGTTTTTATTTTTTATAAATGTAATTAAAAATTAAAAAAAATTGGACGGTCTATGTGCAGTATGAAAGGAAGACCGTCTAAATTTGATATCAAAATTTTTTATAATTTTTATATTCATAAATATAATAGTAAAAATATTCAAAAATTAATTTAAATGAATGGTAAAAATCTCTTCAAACTGAAATAAAAGGCCTAAATTTGGCCATAGCTAATGAGCACCGGAAACTAAAATGTGCAATTACGGGAAGCGTTCGTGAGCGTTAAGCAAAGGTTCAGAGATTGGGTGTATATGGGATGAAGGATCATTTTCCACTCTTTTTAATGGTGTTAAATATAGGACCTTCTACGTATTAATTTCTTTTAATTTGTTGACAAAGTATATTCCTCATGCCTCATACAAATTATGATCGCAAGGTTTTTACCAAAGAGTACAACCATATTATATTATGAAGGTTTAAATGTTTTTGGATATTGTTCTTTTCTAATTTTTATTTGGGAAAGTCATATGGACGTCCCACATATAAATTTTCATTATTAAAAAGTCCCATAAAACTCTGAAGTCCAATAAGAATTAATTGCAAATAAGTTTGGATGCGAATTTGCCAAAATACCCTTATTTAAAAAAATAAAAAAAATATTTTTCCATTGTTGACAAATGACAAGCTCGAAGCGGAGCCGGAGCATGGGATCTGAATTTTTCTTAACAAGGCAGCCTTTCACAATTTAATTTTTTACAATTAAAATTTATAAAATTTTAGAGAATTTTTTTTTGCCAACATAAAATTTTAGAGTTATTTGCTCACTTTGTAAGACTTTTTAATAATTAGAATTCTTACATGAAACCTGTGTGATTTTCCTTTTTTATTTCACGTTTATGTTTTGGATTTTCATCATATAATTATTTCCTCTAAACTTTTGACATCTAGTTCAAAAGTACTGCTTTTTTTTGGGGAAAAATAATATTAAGCTTCGAAACTAATTAACATTTTTAAATAAATTTAAAGATTAATATATTACAAATAATCAACAATAATCACGCAATAGCTTATTGGTGAGACATTGAGAAGAACATACTCAGTTCATCCCCCCCCCCCCCAAAAAAAAAAAAAAACACACAAGAAGAAGAGCATACTCATGAAAATCAACAGCGTAAATAATTAAGCCAAGCCCATGGGCGGAGGGATTTGAATGGTTCAACCCAAAATCCCAACAATTGAGTCATCTTTTTTCGAAAGAAAACAAATATGTTATATTAAAATTGAAATAAAAAGATTAAAGTATAATAACAATAATTAACACTACCTAGCGCGTTCTACTGTTTATATACATTTAACTTACAATTTCAATAATTGATTAATCTAACGGATCTCAAGACCTGCCATACTCCGAATATTTTTTATTTTTATTTGGAAAAAAAGGTCAAAATCAGTTTTTTGTCCTTTTAGTTTCCTGCTAAATCTAAATCTAGATCCGCCACATTTGAACTGATGAGAGTCTTAGTAGAACATAGTCAAAGTGGAACCATTAAATATAGGTCACACAGTTTTGGCAAAAAAAAAAAAAAAAAAAAAGGTCGGAGGCATATTTTCCTCCCTCGAACATGATCTCACCATGCTCTGTTTTAGATCAAGAAAAACAGAGCTTTCTTGTATGTTGATATAATGATGTTGACAGCCACAATTTAATATTCAAAAGTAAACAAGTTAATATATATCGAGAATCAGCTATTAAACATTCAGTGTCTTTGCACCCAAACAAATCAGTACACCAGGATTTATTCAGTCTGAGGAATCATCCAAAACCTAATTTTCCCAACTTATTCAAGTACCATCAAAACGCATTCATTTACATTCACTCCAACATGAAAAAAAAAAAATATAAAGCACAAAAATGAAATCCTAGCTAAAACCCAAAATGTCTATTTTTAGCAGCAATTGTTTCCCAGCATTGATTTTGCCTTGCTAGAATATCTTGGCGTGCTTTCAGAAGATGAGTGTGATTTGCCATAACGCGTGCATGCACTTGCAGTGCGGCATCCAAGTCCTTTTGAGCCACTTCGACCACTCGTGCCGCCTCTACCTCTTGATTGCGTGTAGCCGCCAGCATTGCCTCATTGGCCTTGAGATCACAATCCAAACCCTTTAGAATTTCATGGAAGCAATCAACTTCGGATACATAATCACAATTAAAAACCCTAGTCTTGATAGATTCAAGCCAGTCCTTGTCAAAGCCTAGAAGACATGCATCCTTTAATTTATCTTCCAACACTCTCGTCTGCCTCAGTGATGGTGAAGGGAGTCCTGGTGGTAAGAATGTTGAGTATATCAAGCAACACCCTATAGGAAATGCACAACATTTGAGTGCTTCGATCATATGAAGACAAACACAGTTGTGGGTGAGTCTTGAGTGCCTCTGCCAAGAGGGAAGTCTCAGAGCCCTCTAATTTCATCCTATCAACTATCTCTTGCACCTCAGCAACATTCAAAGATTGATTAGTCTCAGTAAAAGTAGGTGACATCATTATAGGAGCAAAAGATGGTGACACTGACGATTGTGCATCAGCAACAATTTCTGGCTTTGTTGCGCCATGATGTTTAACACTTTTGCCTGACAAAAAACCGTAACATTTGAACATGAGACCACTAAATCAAATAAGGATATGAAAGATGCTTAGTTGGAGGTCAAAGGAAGGAATCAAGTCAACTAGTTAATGCAATATGATCAGCAGCAGGGATTAGGTGAATCACCTCTAACGTCCCTACTAGAGTTTGCTTGGTCACCATGAGATGCTGCATGAGTTCGTTGGTCTGTGGTTTCAGCACCACTTTGGATATTACTTCCTAAACAATGAAGCAATATTTGGTAAGAATTACCCAACAACTAATCACATTGTCATGGATATTTCTTCCTGATTGAATATAAAGCGAAGATAGAATATGAAATATACTGGGATTTAACTAAGAAAATGAAAGAAATGATAGTAAAATAGGTCGTTAATGAAACTCGCCATGAGTAGACTTTGAGGGAGCTTTTAATGACAAATGACTCAATAGCAAGACTGACTTAAAATTTTGCTCGTTTAAAATAACTGGTATGGGTAGCACAGAAGGGTTGCCAATAACAAAATATATATATATATATATATATAAACATGTTTAACAAATAAAAGGTTGAAGGAATTCATTTAAAGAAAGCAATAGATACCATGAATGGTAGTCTCGTGCTCTCTTCCCAGTGAAGAACTCACTGCCTCGTGATTTCGGTATCTTCGAGTTGTTCTCAAGCCACCTGTAACGCCCAAAATGAGCAATCATGTGAGATATGAACCCTGAAATAAAGACCTGTAGTGGATCTTGTTTACTCTTACCTCCCTCTTCCTCTTGTTCTTCTTCTTCTTCTTCAAAAATTTTTGAAGTTGAGCTCATTGTACTACCGCCAGTAAGAATAGGTTCCTTATATGATAGACCATTTATCATCATCATTATCACAATAGCTAATATATTAAATGCTCAAATGATTGCAAGAAGCCCACCTTCCTAGAAGTTAATGAGCTGGGATGTAAGTTCTCCAAATAATTTCACTTTTGGCATTATTTTTGGACAAAAATAAATGATGTATTGGAAGATTAGTTTAAAATAGAGAAAGGAGATATCTTTGTACTAGAGAATGGAAGCATCTAATACAAGTTTGGAGATATAATCGTGTTTGTTTTCTTTTAATACCTTGTCAAATTTATTTTTTTGGGATTTTTTTGCTAACTTTTATATGAAAAGACGCACATCTTATCCTTTCATAAAATAACTTTAAAAGAGAAAATTTATTGTTCATAGAGAATGATAGTATTTGATCCAATCTTGTGGATATGATAATGTTTGTGATTGAGTATTAGCGATAGATAACTATAAAACAGAAAGGGCAGACAATAATATACTAGAGAATGGCTGCGTCTAATACAAGTTTGTGCGTGCGTGCGTGGGGGGGTCATATTTAGCAAAAAGTAATATAATGTCAATAGAAAACAGTAATATATATATATATATATATATACATATATTGATTACTAGTACGCCGCATTCTATTACTCTTAATTTGTCACAAACATGATCTTAATATTTTACTGTGTGTGTGTGTATTGGAGTACCATCAAATACCATGAGATATACCTTCGATATGTTTTTTGTCCCGTGGTTTGTTGTGGGCCTGCTCTTACTGATATACAATTTATCTAATGAATTTTCAATCAGATATGTAGTTATCATTCAGAATCTACTCTTATCGATATAACATAAGTTGAAATAGAATTTAGTCATGCCAACCAACTCATCATACATAAAGATGATTAAAGCATCATGCATAAGTTATAGCCATCAGGCATAAAACCTATAATATATTTAAAATAATAATAATTTCACTTTTAGAGATGTTCTACATGTGAATATTAGTTATCTCAAGGTCATTTGAGCACTTGCTTCTTTATGATTTTAGATAAAAAATAAATAAGAGTACTCAATAGTTGATCCCCCCTTTTCTATTGCTAGGTACAAAATAAAGTGAAGAGACCAGATTAGGAAACACATATTGGTTGATCAATGGCTTTTGAATCAGATGGTAAATTTATCAATTTTGGCATTTCAAGAATAACATCCTCTTCAACAATTTCTTTCTTTTTTCCCTAGTGCCCAAACCAATATTCATTGTAAAAGTTTTAGTCATGCGGAATTCATCAATAAAATAACTTTTGTTGATTTCTTATATAAATATCTCATCAAATTCAATATTTTTGCTTCCATTATTTGGATTAAAAATAAATCATGTCTCAGAAGATAATTTTAAAACAAAGAAATTTGATAATTTTATACTTTGATAGCATGTACTATACGCTTGTAGATATAATCATGTTTGTGAAATAGTATTAGAATATAATTAGCTACAATATTTTCTACCAACTTTTAGATTATATAAAAAATATGTATCTATTCACAAGATAACTTTAAAATATATAGAATATATATCAATTGTTAATGGCATTTTATAGCTAAAACACTGTCGCAAACATGATTATGTCCACAAGGTGGTGAAATAAGACATACCCTTGTGAAGTTTGGTGAACCAATTTGGGATTTTTGGATTTTCAAACTTGGGCTCTCTTTGGTATCTCCCGTGCCTGACTGATTTGTATTTGGATGTGAAGAAACCTTCTCCTCTATTTTTGCCTCAACATTGGAATCAAGATCCTTTCGGCCATCTTGATGCTGAGTAGCGATGGTTTCTGCAAGTAAGATTTTCCAATGTCATGTTATGGTGATCACATAATAATAGTTTTCAATTTGAATGTTTGAATGCATACCATGAAAAGAAAATTTCGGACAGTTATCCACTGTTGAGCGATTTTTTAATGTTTGAAAATCAATCCCATGGCAGATGTTACATGAGGCTTGGATTTCTTTCCAGTTTTACACATCTTAGCTTTGGAAGCAGTTCCTTCTTGGCCATTTCTTTCGACGCATCTGGTCTAATCAGCACATGCTCGAGGGAGGAGGCACCTCCTATCTGCAAAACCTCTAGTTGAGGAAAGGTACCAGACCTTGTGATAGAGAACAAATACTTCAACTTGTGACAGCCCTCAACACTCAGCAGTTCTAACTTTGGGAAGCATGGTTGATGAGGGAAATGATCTCCAGCACTTTCCTCATTATCCTCTTCAATGATCTCAACTAATTCTTCACATTCCCATATCTATACCCACTGTAACCGTGGTAGGCTTCTCAATGTAGAGGTAGAGAAGACAACTTCAAGCTTTTTGCATCCTCTGATTACCAACACAGAGAGATTGTTGAGGCTTAGAATGTATTTGGGGCCCACACATATATTCCTCAACTCCCATAAATCTGTCAACAGCAATTTTTGTAAACTTGATGTTAATGGTTCAAGTCTTTTTTCATTTTTCTTTGCGTCCAGATTTTTCAAGTTGAAAATCTCTTCTATTTTGAAATTTTTTATTTTAAGCCTTTTCAAAGCATGCAATCATATCTTAGTTGCCTGTAAAATACAAAGACACAACATCAATATCACATTCCAATTTAACATTATAGAACATAGGGGAGGAAGAAATAATCAAATTAAATTGAAGTAAATAAAATTATTCTCAACAAATTAATAAAAAAATAAAAATTAGAGAAAAAATTTGATATTAAGATCCATCAACAATTATTGAATTAAATCATCCTACAAGTATAACAAAAATACTCCTTATTCTTAACAAACTATGGAAAATCTAATTGCCCAATCATTAACACTAAAAACACATACCTCCTCCATACCGCAATATAAGTCATTGGTAACAAATTTACATTTCTAAAAAGAGTTTTTTTAAATCTTTATTTTCTAAAAATTTTCACATCTTTTTAATCATAAAAATTAGAGATAAAAGCATTTGATATTAAGATCTGATAACAATTATTGGATTAGATCAAACATATTCTAGCATAACAGTATACTCCTTCTCCTTGATAGAATATGAAAAAGCTAATCAACCAAACATTAACTTTGAAACACAAAAATGTGTTGAGTGAATTCAAAATATGATTCAGCAAGACTCTGTTTTGTTGCAAAAAAGAAAAAAAAGGCACTAACAAATGACACAGTGAATGGGGAAGGCGAGTGTGTGATGCTCACCTTTCAACATTTAATATGTTATAAACTTGTAGGTAATTGTAATCTAATTTAACCTACCATTCACACTGATATATGTGAATGTGTGAAGTGATTGCAACACTAGCATTGTTAAACATGAAAAATAGAGGCAATTGTCCTTCACCATTTTAACATCATAAAAAATAGGGGAGGAAGAAAGAATCAAATTAAATTAAAGTATATAAAATTATTCTTACTCAATTAATAAAAAATAAAAAAATAGTGAAAAAAAGCATTTGTTTATTGGGATATGGTGGTATAGAAACTCAAAAGAACAAGTGATAATTAAACACTATCAAATAGGAGGAAATTACTCTGTTATTGCTTGACCATCCTTGCACAACTTTTGAAACCTATTTATACCGATCGTACATGGACATTTTCATCTCAAATATTAGACAAAGCTTTTAACATAGGTTAAAAGAGTCACATATGTTACTAGCTATTAATCATGGCCGTTAACAGGCAGTTGCGAAGACTTGCTTATTAATGGATTAGTAATAGTAGGAGAGTATTGATGTTCAGATCATGATTCCATTTCATATGGTAACAATTATTGAATTAGATAAACTTGATAGCATGACAATATGCTTCTTATCCTTAGCCAAATATGGAAAAGCTAATAAACCAAAACATTAACACTGAAATGCATAAATGTGTTAAGCAAATGAGAATTTAACAAGACTCTATTTTCTGAAAAAATGGGGATTAGCTAGGACTCATTGAATGGGAAAGAGGAGTATATGTCATTCTCACCTTTCAACATTAATATGTTAATAAATTTTGTGGGCAATTGTAATTAAACTTAACTTATCATTAACGTTAAAATATGTGAATGTGTGAAGTGATTAAAAATTCAACCACAAACGTGCAAAACAGAGGCAATTGTCCTTCACCATTTTTTTAAATTCAATATTGATTAATGTAAATAAATAAAATCTTTTTTTAATTTTAATTTGTAATGCATATATATATATATATATATATGAAATCATGACTCAAATTATCAAATAACATCTACTAGGATTGTTCAAAATAATTACTAATAAGACTAGGAGAGAAGTTAAAGTAGAGTCATACCTTTGTGGTTGTGGAGTCTTGTTGTGTTGCATGATCACAAAACATAAAATCATTTAAAGATCTGATGCTAAACATAGAAGTACTATCAATATCCAAGTGAATGGCCTCCAGAGATAACCCTCTCAAACAAAAGTTTTTAGGACACAAGCTAACAAGTTTTGGCACATCATATATCCTTAGATTTTCCAGAGCAGGAAAATCAATGCAAGTTTTGATATTTTGATTCTGATGAGATAAATTGTCATCATGAGAGCTACTTCCCAACACATATTCCATTGCATTGCATTTTAAAATTTCTAGTCGTTTCAACTTTGGAAAGATGGATTTGTGATTCATATGAGTTGTAAGACCTCCCTCATCTACTACAATGCATTTTAGTTGATGACATGTTATGATTGTCAGTTCTTCCAAGGAAAGGATTGGGCCATCATGTAGAGCAAACAATGATATTAAGTTGTCACAATTCAAGAGTTCCATCTTCTTAATGTTGATCAATAATTGCATGGTGAGGCTTTGAGTAGCTTGAAAAGCTCGATGAACTGCATTTGTGGATAAATCTAGCCCTTACAAATACATAAATTATGTGCATATCAATGCATACAATAATCAATAAAATCTGCATATAAAAATTATTTTAAAAGAATATTAGTCATTTAACTTTACATAAGGTTTCTTTTTGATCTTTTAATTTTATAAAGTATTTTTTAGTCTTTTAATCCTAATATCATTAGTTTGATTACAAAAAATTTATATATTAAACTTTTAAATATTAACAAAACATTTTCAAATATTAACATATTAAGTTTAATTTTTTTAAAATAACAATAATTGACACAAAATAATCATTTAAAACTAACGGTGTTAGGGTTAGATGAATGAAAATATATTTTTAAAATTAAAAAATAAATTGAAACTTTATATAAAATTAGAAGACCAAAAGTTCATTTTAACCTATTAGTTTAAGGTCTATCTTTTAATCTCTTTTCTTTTTTCTATTTTCTTTTAATTCTTGTGAAAATTCCGTATTGTAATATATACTCATACACACACACATAATTTCTGCATTAATTTCTTTTTCTATTCATCATATCTATCAATGAAAAAGTAACATCCAAAAATATACGATTTTGGAAAAGACAAGCAAATTAGGATAGGGAGAAAATAGAAATATAAGATATATTTGGTACTAAATGACGTGATTTTATATGTTAATTTAAATAATTGATTGATAATGTTTCCTTTTTTTTTTTGTAACAGTTTTAAGAACAAATTAAATTGTTCTGTTTTAAATGTCTGTAGTATTTTATTGTATAGCCAATGCCTAAGATTTCAAGACAAACAATTAATCTAAAATGATCCAGAGAAACAGTGTGAAGAGATGGCGGTATTCAAATCTAAAATTATTCATTATCCAAATGCTTACCATATTTGGGACATCTTGAAAGCAAAGGAACACTAAAGCTGGGAGATCAAAGTGCATCTCGTGATGTTGATTTTGACTGGATAAATGATCCTCATGCTCGTATTTCCCAATAGCACATTTTAGCTCAGAAGCACCCTTGATAGTCAAAGATTTGAGACTCTTAAGTTGCACAGATAATGGTAATGAGGAAGGAGATAAAAATCCCAACCCTTTGCAATCATCAATTTCTAGATTCTTTAAAGTTGGAAAAATGGAGCGGCATTTCGTGGAAACTTGAGCATTATCTTCAACTTCTACAATGTACTTCAGTTGGTGACAACTTTGGATTGTCAAATTTTCTAACAAAATCGTTGAGGCAGTCGGTAGAGTGAACAATGATAGAAGCTTTGAACAGTTTTGGAGTTTCATATCCTTTATATTTTTCAATGATTGAGTTAATGGGCCTTGGACTGCTTGTAAGTTGGTGACTCCATCTCTGGATACGTTTGTTTCCTGCTGACAAATAAATTGAAACCAAACAATAAACAAAATTCATTTTCAAGTTTAACTAGTGTTTAGTAATTAGTTATATTTTGTCAAAAAGCCGTCATTTTGGTCAAATTTTGATTTGTTCACTTTTTTGTTGTCATATTAATATAATTGCCATATTTCTCTTTTCCTTCATCAAATTTAAAATCTTAAAAAATAGTTTTTGTCACCATGCTATACTTTGAACAATCCTAAATAAATCAAACATATGAATATTATGTCATTAAAAGAAAAAATTAGCTCTAGTAAATTATTATATCAGATTATATTAAAGCTCATAATATGGGTTAAGCCCATGGGCTCAACCTGCCAAAAAAGGTAAGTTAGGTTGAAAAAAATGAGTTTCTTTAAATGCAGGTCGGGTTTGGCCCACATTGTATAACTTGAACCCCTAATGAGCTAACTTGTAAGTTAGTGGGTTAGTCCACTTATTTTTTTCTTCCAAAAATCAATACATTCAAATTTCTAAACAAAACATGTTACACAAATAATTTTTCACATCTCGATTTTATTAACATTTCTTCTAACCAAGTTATTTTTATTCGTCCATTTTTTAATAAAAATCTAAAATAAATATTTTAGATATTTTGCCAAAATTATTTTGTCATTCTTGAAGACGGCGTGAAAAGATACTATTTTTTTTTTTTCAATTTGACGACCCACACTAGTACTTAATGTTATAACTTGTAAAAGAAATGATACAAAAAAATGGAAGTGTATGGGATTCATTTTTTTTTGGAGTCCAAATCTTCTAATTTCATAAAATTAAATGTTATATTTGGAAAGAGATTAAAAAAAAAAACAGAGAGAAGGAGCGTAATTATTAAACATAACTCCACCTTTCTCGCAGACCATATAATTGTATATTTTTCCCCCCTTCCTGCCACTTTTTCCAGAAGAAAAACAGGAAAATACTTTTTGTTCGTTTGTTTGTGGCAAATGAAGCTTTGAAAAAATCTACTCAAACTAATGTTATATCAACTTCTAATAAAGCCTCTAATATTATGAATTTAAACATTTTACTATGTTTGTTTGTTGATAGTATATATATTTATTTTGTATTGTATTAATGTATTTTAAATTTGTATTGTGTTTTTTTAAGGATTTAGAAGGGGTTTTTTTTGTTATTTTAATAATTAGTTTTTATGTAGAAAATATATTTTTTTACTGTAAAAAACACTAAAAAAACAGTAAAGCATTTTTTATTGGTAGGTTAGCCCATAAATGTAGGTTGGTCGATATATAGACCATATAGGATGTGGGTCATACCAACTCGTTCCACCAAGCCCAAAACCTACTGTAGGCCAACCCATAACTCGCGAGCTAGCCCATATTATCAGTTTTAATTATATAACCTAAACTATTATAATAAACAAATCAAGACATATATCAAGTAAATTAAGACAATAAGTGAGATTTTAAAAAGAAAAAAGGCATTAATCATGTAGTATAATAAGAAAATTGGGAAAAATAATAGAGATCTAATTTGTTAACCAAAAAGAGTCATTTATGATGGACAAAGCAAAACAAATACCAGTAAGTTAAAAAGAGTGTTACCTTTGTGATTTCCCAATTCAAGCATTCTTCACTTGGACAAATGATCAAATCAGTAAAAGATATGATGCCACAATTGTCCAAAAAAATAGTATGAAGAGATGGCGATACCAAGAAATAATAATTCTGGACACAAATGCTTATCATACTTGGCACACCTTTAAAGCAGAGGAACTCCAAAGTAGGAAGATCAAAGTGCTGCTCATTTTGTTGATTTTGATTTGCTGAAAGATCCTCATGATGGTACTGCCCAACAATATGTGTTAGTTTAGGAGCATCTCTAATCATCCAAGACCTCAAATTTTTAATTTCTAATGATATTGTGGATGGAAATAAAAAATCCATGTCATTACACTCCTTGATTTTTAGCTTTTTCAAGTTTGGGAAAATGGAACTACAGTTTTTTTGATCTTTATAATCATCTTCATCGTTGGTTACCAAGTGCTTCAATCCATCACATTTTTTTATTGTCAATTCTTCCCACAATATCATTGATGCCATGGATAAAGTGAACAATGTTGATTTTGAATTTAAGGAGAAATCTACAAGTTTCATCTTCTTGATATGACAAACAAGGAATAGTTGTCCACCAATAATAGCAGCAGTATCTATCCATTTCTTTGATGCGAATAATCCCTGCAAATAGACATTTTTATTCAACAATTGAACCACTTAATTTAATTTTTTTAAGAAATGCATGGAGATATGGAATCTATGAAAATAGCACTTCATTTAATTATCAAATATACATGAAAACTTTTTATTCGGTTATATATATAGTATGTTAGTTATATTTATATGTATTTGATTATACTCAATTGATGTTATAGTTCTAGACACATGAGGCACAAGCACGCAGATATATACATGTGTAGGTATTTATAGTCTTACCATTTTACCAAAAAGATTTTTAACAAATGCACTTGCAAAATCTTATTACAAATTAACTCAATTTTGCATCCAAAAATATTTCAAATTACCTTTAAATATTGGCAATTCATATAACAGATATTTTCAATGTTCAAACCTTACTTTGTTCAATTGTGAACCATTTTTCTTCTTTTGAAATAATTGGCAATTTACATTTTTATTCCTTGAACAATATATATATATATATATATGAGACACTTGAACGAAAATAGTAAGGCAAATGCAGCATACCATTAGGTTTGTGCGGTCAAGTGGTCCATGATGAGAAACAATAAGATTAGTCTCTTCACTAGCTGGCCTCGATTTATTGAGAGAACAACATGCTCGAACCCAAGAGAGAGCACATGTGGTAGGAATTTGATGTATGTTGTTGGACTTATGTCTTGAAAGTGGAGATGATGGCTTTTGCATTGATGAACTCTTGAGTTGCTCATAGTTTCTAAAAATTCCACTTAGTCTTGGTACTCCACAAAGTTCCATCTCTTTCAGTGAGGGGAGCATAGCATCTTCCCCCTCTTGTAACTTATCAAATATGTATTCCAGCTGCTCACTCTCATATATACCTATCTTTTCTAGAGGTGGAAGGCCTCTAGCATATAGGATTGGAAATATTACTCTTAATTTGTTGCACCCTTTGATTTGAAAAGTTATTAATTTTAGGAACAATGAGTCATAACTCTTTTGATTACTGTTGCCATCTTCACCCACTATGATGTGTTCAAGCTCATTGCAATTTCTAATTGTTAATTCTTTCAATTCCTTCAAACTTTGAGCCGTGCATGGTTGGAAAATTGTTGTCAACATTGGACAATCTTCCAATTCTATAGACTTTAGATGACATAAGTTGAAGTTGCTTTTGGAAAATATGCTCCTCAATTTCTGACACTCCTTCAACCTCATGATCTCTAATTGCTCCAAAAAGTTAGACGGTTGAGAACCTGAAAATAAATCTTCAATGTCCATTCTAGAGAGGTGTAGTTCAACCAAATTACAAAAAGCAGTCACACCAGAATTATGACCATTAGTATCTACAAGACACTCCAAGTGAGGATATGAGCTCAAATGAAGAATAATCAAATCATTCAATGTTTCTTCCTCATCTATTGCAACAAGATCAGGGACAAGATTCTTCCATATTCTTTGTTCATGCTCTCCTTCCAAGATAAGAAGCTCGGCTCTTTTCACAAGTTTCTTAAATGTTGCATCTGAGACTAAATGACTTAGTTCGTCTATTATAAAGCATCTTAACATGGAACCATGATTTTGAAAATAATATGAAAGATGATTAGAAGATATACAATATTTATGTAATGTAAGAGGAGATCCATTTTGAGAAATTGCATCTTCTTCTTCTTCTTCATCACACCTATTGCCAATAAAAATTAACTCTTCTAATTGTGAGCATCTTTCAAGCACTTTAAAAGGATTATTTTCTTCAATTTCACATTCTTCTACCTCCAATGATCTTAACTTCTTTAATTTCAAAAATTCTATTGGTAATTTAATGATTGAACAATCATAAAACCAAAGAGTCTCAAGACTCAACAAGTTTCCTAAGATAGAGATGTCTCCTAACTCTAAATTTTTCAAGATGAGTGTTTGAATCTCCTTTAATGATTGAAGTGAATTTGCCAATGATAGGACTTGAATTCTTGGGTAATAACTATAGCGATCTAAAATGAAAACTTTGAGACTTCTCATCTCATTAAAGAATGTTTCTGAGCGATCTAAATCCTCTGAACCACTTAAAAAGATTAATAGGAACTCCAATTTCTTTCCATTAAATTCATCAGGAAAGTTATCATTCTTCCAAAGCAAATATCTCAAGTTCTCTTTTATAGGCTTTTTCAAATCTGTGATTGATTGAATATATTTGTCTTCTATCCTCAAGGCCACCTCACGAACCAAATCATGCATCTTCACAAGATCTCTTTCACTACTTAACAGCAAAGAAGAACTTGTGAGTTGCCTTATAGCAGCATGCACTTCCAATATTCTTTCTGAATAATCCTTGTCATTTTCTCCAAAAGAGCTTAACCCTATACCAATCTTGCTTAAAACTTGAACAGGAATTTCTTCATCTTCTGGGAACATGGAAGATATCAAAAAGAGTTTTTTGGCCTTTTCTTTCTTCAAGTTGTCATAGCTTAACTTCAAGCATTTATCAACATCTTTTAAATTTTCATCATTGACATCAAGTATTGACTTAGAACTCTTCAAGGTTTTCAAAGCAATCTTCCAATCATTGGGAGGCCAATTTTTTAACATTCTTGCGACTGCTACAATTGCAACTGGTACTCCTCCACATTGCTTCACAATATCTTGAACTAGACTCTTAGAAATGGTGGAATTATTAATACTAGCATTTGTATGGAAAAGCTTCAATGCATCCTCCTCATGTAGCTTCTCTAGTTGAATTGTCTTTTGGCATCCCATATTTTGACAAATGTTTAAGTTGCGTGTAGTTATTAGTACACTACAACCCTTACGCTGGAGAACAAATGGAATCCCTAACTCTTTCTTGAGATCAAACTCTTCCCACATATCATCTAGTATTACAAGTAGCTTTTCTTCCATACTAGTGATTTTGGACCATATTCTCTTCGAGAGTTCTTCCTCCTTGTCATCATTTGATTTCAAATCTAAACGTCTTGCAATTTCACGTCGAATGTTTTTGAAATCAGGAGGCTTAGACACAACAAGAAAGATAACTTTGTCAAATTGAGATCCTTCAAGATTTTCACCGACTTTTAATGCCATTGAGGTTTTTCCTGTTCTCCCTAAGCCTTGTAATCCAACCATGTTACAATTTTCATCTTCTAATGCCTTCATTAGCTCTTGGAACTTTGACTTTCTACTCTCAAAATCAAGGAAGATTTATGGTGAATAGTATTTTATACTTGAAACATCCACTTGACCTGCCACTATGCTCAAGTTATTACATCTTTTGAGGAGGTCTTCTATTTGCAGAGTCTTTTGTGCAAATTCCTTGCCGCACTGATATTGGCACCAACAATTAGGACATAAGCCAAAAAAGCACTTCTTTGCTTTAATGTTATAGTTAATGAGACTATTTGCTTCACTTGCCCACTGCTGCACTTCATTTGTAACTCTTGAAGCACCTTTGGCTTTTCCCATATCTATGTTGATATCCTTGCACTTTGCAAGCAACCTTTCCCTTTCTTTACAAAAATTTTCAACATAACTGTTGAAACAGCATAAATATTGAACTTCATTTTTCACTAGATTCACCAAATTCGAAACTTGATCCTTTGCAACGTCAAGAAGGAAACCCTCCATCTAACATGGATATGAGGAAATATGGTTAGTCTATCTTGCTATCTAGATCTTGGCTATGAAATTAGTGCACAATGATGATAATGATTGAATGTGAAAGCTAGATTTACAATGATACAGAAATTTGACAGACATGCAAATTAAGGAGGTATGGTGACTAAATAGAGTAGGAGTAAAAACATATTGTTACTCATAATAATAAAATGGTACAAATGTCATGCTGGATAGTTTCTAAGCTAAAAACATGGCTAGTATATATGTTTTCAAGTTGGATTGGCATAGCTTCTAAGTTGGATAAAGGAGTAGTCACTTGGGACTAGTTCAAATGGCATAGTAGGATGGGATTTACGTGGTGGTCAAGTTTTCAAATCTTCTTAATGTAATCCAAAAGAAAATTGAAAAAAAAAAAAGAATTGCTTAAAACGTGAAAGACACCATAGATTGTGAGACAATGGAACCATATGGTAGGAAGTAATGAGAGGTGATAGTTTCAGTTTGAATGTTTACTTAGGGCTTGTTTAGTTTTTGTTCCCCTTTTTTGTTTTTAAAAATTATTTTGTAATACAATTTTTAGAATTGTTTTTCAAAACAAAGCAAAAGGAAATTCTGTTTAGTTATGCTAATTTAAAAAAATTATAATTAAAAAATAAGCGAATAATGATGGTTGCATAGATGATTAATTGTGGTTGTTTACGATAGAAATTGGTCAAGCTAACTATATTTTTCAATAATTAAATGTAATATGTTTTGAAAACAAAAAAAAAACAACTTTAAGATATTTTGGTTTTTTTGTCTTTAAAAACAAAAATGAGAATAATTTTGAAAACAATTAAATTCAAAATACTGATGCAAATGAGTTTTTTAAGGAAAAAAATAGTTTTTGAAATAAAAACCAAACATACTCTTAGTTAGTACTCTCCTTTTGTATGGTTCAATTCAAATTGTACTTTAATCTCCTAAGCTTTATCATGAAATTGGAATATATACCATCTTGACGTGCAGAATGCATTAATTCCTGAATTGTGACACACAGGAGGAGATCTTCATGCAACAATTTTGGAAGATCCTCGTTGGGATTCCTTACCTATGGCCTCAAATAGCAAGCGGTCATAAAAATTAATAAATTAAAAGCCATATTGGTCTATGTCAATGATCTATTATTGATAAGGATAAACTCAGCAGAAATTTAACATATGGTCATTGGTCAACCTTTAAAAGTTGTACATTACTAGAGCCTAATTTGGTGTCATGATTGTGAATCAAACAAGTGATCTCAAAAGTAATAAACAATGAAATTTTATTGTAGAAACAATTTTCTATCAAAAAACAAATTTACAACACCCTACATTACAAACAAAATAATTTTTTATGGCAACTTTTAATGACGACCGAAAAAGTCACCACTAAAAGTGGTCTTTTGGCAGTGACAATATGTCACCACCAAAAGTTGTGACAAAAAATAAAATTTTCACGGCTATTTTTAAATATTGCCGCCAAAAGTATATTTTTGATAGCAACCTTTAATAGTTGCCGCCAAGAGTGGACTTATGTCACAATGAAAAGTATTTTTATAAAAAATAATTTAAAAATTAAAAATAATTTGTATAATTATTTTTCGTGACAACATTTGTCTCCAATAAAAGCATTTTCACAAAATTAAATATAGTTGTAAATTATATGAAATAATTTATAAAATTATCATTTAAATTATTAAAAAAGTTCTTATGAATTATTTTAAAAATTTAAAAAAATAAAATCATTCGAAAGATATTTATGAAATTAATTTTCTCATTTTATTTACAAAATTAGAAATAAATGATATATAGGATCATGAAATAAAAAGAATAATAGTGAAGATGTGCTAAGTTTAATTATGAAATCATGTTCTAATTTTGTATTATTCATAATCTTTTTTTTGTCATATATAGCTTATATTTTATTTAAGAATTATGTTATTAAGCTAGTATTTTAATATAATAAATTAAAATCTTGATGGGTTATTACTTTCAATTATAATTAGGTTAACTAATATAATACATGTTTACAAATAAATTATATACTTAATAATTTTCATTTAAAAATAAAATTAAAAATTAAAAATTGGTTACAATATTTATAAGAAAATTATTTAATATTTAAAATTTGTTTATTTTAAGTTCATTTCCCGAACAAAATAATATTTATTGGTAAAAAATAATATTTTACTAAAAATATGACATAAATATTCATATAAATTATTTTATCATATTAATAATTGAAAATAAAATATAATATATGTATATTTGTTAATAATATATTTTTTGATATATGTGTATGTAGTTAAATAACATAAGTTTAATTTTATATATAATAACTATAAGTATATTTTAATTCAACTGGTAAAGGAGAATGGCTTTATGCTTGGAAATGAAAGGTCAAGAGTTCAAACCTTGGCTTTAACATATTTTGCATCAAATGTTTAATGTGGCACATGGGGGTGATATAGCGCATGATGTCGCTTGAGGAGGCACGCGCGCGCACACGTGGTAGGTGACATGGCACGAGGTAGTAGGCGATTGGCATCATCTACCAACCATGTGGCATACGACGTGGCATCACGTGATGTACACGTAAGGCTGGGCCACCCCATTTAAGCCCCTTTTTATAAGAGTTTGGATTTAAAAAATTGGTCATTTTTAGGAAATTTAGGTTTAGAGCTCGGCCTTAATAGGCCCTAAAAAAGGGCCCAAGCTCGGGTGGTCCCTCCAAGTCCACTTTCCTGTTTTTTTTTCACCCCCAATTCAAAACACATAGCTTTACTTGAGGAAGAAAAATGAAAACCCTAGAGCTGAGATGCTCACTTGACAACACACGATACTCCCTCTTCTCAATCACTAAGCTCTTACCTCTCCACTCTTGCCTCTCGACCTTTGAAGTTCAAGCTAGCTTGATCACTCTCCTCACTCCAACTGACTATCTAGGCAATGGTAAGTCTGTCGACTCATGGAATCATGATGCCATTACCTCTCGTCTCTCAATCTCGCTCACTACTTGGTTGCTCTTCTCACTCCTTTGATTCTCGATCTTAGCTTTAGATCACGGTGCTCAGTTTCTCCCCTTCATCCTCTACATAATAAATCAACTTCCACCCCATGTTGCAAGGAAAATGTTTCAGGCTTTCAATATGTAAGAAGTATTTTTCCCTTGTCCATGCTAGAGGATGAGTAAGATTTAGGGTATGTTAGGATTAAGGAAATAGGAGGGAAGGAAAGGTTTGGTCCAAGTCTTGTTGCATCCTGCTAAATTCAAGCATACCTTAAACAAGACATTGTTATGTTGCAAATTTGGTTCCTTCAAAGATGGTTGAATTAATGTAATGTCAAAATGTCTGTTGAACTTATGTTTCCTTAAATAAACTTTCTCATGTGGCACCATGATATGCCTTGTGTTGTTGTGATCAATAACTACATGACTTTTGAGTTATTGATCGAATGGTTTGATTATTGAGATATGGGTATTGTACGATTGTGGTAATCAAGCTTCCTAGAGCAAGGGATACATATTGGACTAGGTCTTGGTGAGGAGATTCTTGTGTTTTGGAGTGATAGGATTCTCCTTTATAACTAAGGAGGTTGATCTTTTCTACAAATTATCAAAAATGGATTTATATGCATTCGAGTTAATATCTTATGTATTTCTTATCTTCCAATTGCTTTGAGACATTTTTTTTGATATTTTAATTAATTAGTCATCTTTAATTTTTATATCTTTTTTCCTAAAATAAACTTAAGAGCTTGGCCCTATGTCCTTTGAATAAGGGCCTAGCCTTAAAAATAGAGCATTTTTAGGGAAATTAGGCATTTAGGCCTAGGCCTATATGGGCCAGGGCCCTGTTTCCCAGCTCTATGTATCCATGGAGGAGTGACGTGGTATAAAATTTATTATTATTTTTTTAAAAAATGTTTTGGCAACAACAAAAGTATAAAAACTATTAGCAACGGAAGTTATGGCAACGACCTTTCACTGCTAAAAACTTTTAGCAATGACTTTTGGAGCCAAAAGTCTTTTTTGTTTTGTTTGTTTTGTAGTGCTAACTTGTAACTAAACAATATGTCGCAAAATAGGTTTGTGGCAGACTACAATAATATACCAAGGCCAAATGCTAGAATATGGTAGTATAGGCAACTCTGGCGGTCTCTTAAGTGAACTTAAAATTCCACAGCTCAAGCCACCCAATATTTATAGCAATAACATCAATGCATTATTACTGTATATCATCAGCTAACTACTAATTCACTTTAAAGGAGTGAATAGTTAGCATACTAACTATAAACCTACTATATATAGATCATCAAATGATCTATAATAAAAAATATCTTTTGTCTTTCTTGTTGAAGTTCAAAGCAATTAATTAACTATCTATAACAGTCAATTTTTTCATGCATGATTGTAGAAGCTAATATTAAATTAAATATATGTAACAAATGACGTGTATATATATATACATATATATAAAAGACAAAACATGGACAAAAAATTAAAATATATTCACACTTACCTTTTACTGCAGAGATTTCGATATTACTTATACAAGACAAGAAGACAGTATCTGCCAAAAAAACAGAGGTCACAAAATTTAGCATTAACTAGAGTAGAATTAGTCCAGAAACGCATGAGTATAAGATTCAAAGTGACAATAATATGCATTCCATCACACAGCAAAAGAAATATGATAGGATATATTAGTTTTACCTCTTTTACTTGAAGATCTCACAGTTGTTCCTTTTCACTTTCTGTTTTTTTCCCCTTTTTCCGAACTTAAAAAAGAACAAAGTATTGAAGACGAAAAATAAACCAGTCTTTCACACAAGAAGACAACACCTCAAAATCTGTCAAATACAAACACACAAAATTTATTGTTGGTGAAAGAATAATTGATACAAAGTTTTAGTGCCAAATACAAACATTATGGTTCCCAAGGGAAGTGAGACAATGTTTTAACTATGTTGATGAAAGGCTTCTTTACATATTTGATGAAAACTGATTTTTGGGCAAAAATGTGTTTGGCAAGATGGTAGAATTATGATTTTTTTTAATATTAGTATTGAAAGTTTACTAAGAAACAATGCAAGAAAGGAAAGAAAGAAATCAAAGTGGTGATATTAATTTCTCTCATCAATACACACACACATAAGTTGAGTATTTAAAAAGATAGGCGCCCTTTCAATATAATATATAAGGCTAATATTTTTAAAGAGAAATGGGAAACACACATATACATACAATAACACTTGTTTTTGAAAATAAAAAATAAAAATATCTTAGATCAAGGAGGGGCAAGATAGTTAAAATAATGTTTTATAAACCTTGACAAAGTTGGCGATAGATTTTTTTTCTATAGTAGGAAACTCCTTTTCTTTTTGTTTTTTTTTTTCCTTTTCCTCTTCCTTTTTCTTTTTTATGTTGCGGGAAACCTTTCCTTGACTAATTTTATGAGGCTTACTTCTGTTGTATAAAAGGATATCAATTCCGTGGTAACTTAAATAATGTGTGCCAAACATAACCTTTGATCCAAAAGAATTAATTCTATTTTTTTCTTCCAACAAAAGATTTTGAATTTTTTGATAACCACATCTCATCTTGTTAGAGATAAAGAAATCAAACATCTAGAGGATAGAAGATAAATTAAAAATATATAAAGCTTAGGGTGTGTCTAGCTAAGGACTTGTTTGTTTTAGCTTATTTCATGAAAAAATCACTTATTTTTTTTAAAAAATTATTTTGTGAGTTTTTTATGATATTTATTTAAACTTTTAAAAATAATTAGAATAAAAAAAGAAGATTTCTGATTATTTTAAAAAGCTACTTTGAGTGACTTTTGAAAATAATCTAATGCAATGAATGAGAGAGTATATTTTAAAGAAACAAAATATGTGAAGATATTATAAAATTTTAAAATAATATAATAATAAATCATTTTTATAAAATAAAAATTAAGAAAGATATCATAAAATTTAAAAATAACTAATTAATAATTATTTTTTATTATTGTAACAAAAAAAATAATATTTGTTTCTTATAAATCTCTACAAAATAAATATTTTTTTTTATAAAATCTCTAAACTATCAAAAATCACTTATTTTTTAATCTTAAACAATTAGGCACTAAATGACTTAAATTATTTTAATGAAGTAAACTACCATCAAGCATACATATATCGTGTTTGGCACGGGAAAATGATTTTGGTAGAAGCAAAAGGGGAAATAAAAGTAAAAGTGGAAGTGAGGTTTAAAAATATATTTGATACACAGATGAAAATGAGATACAAAAAAGTCGAAGCATAAGCAACCTACCACTTTCATCGTCTAACAACTCCATTCCAGAAAATAATCAATCCACAGCTAAACAATAATTTCCAGAAAAATAATCAATTCAAAACTCAACAACAATCAATCGCCAAAAAAATAGCACAACTTCAGACAAGAAATCAAAGCCAAATACCAGAAAGCCACAAATCAAAGAATTGAAGCAGATTGACAAAGAAGATGGATGAAGGAATGGCGAGATGAAGGAGGAGAAGGAGATCTGAAGAAGAAGAAGAAAATCAACCCAGAAAGACAAAAGAATCATAGCTCTCGCCTCAAGACTCGCCCCTTCAAACCCACAGCATCTAACGGGAGCGTGACGTACACCGGCGATCCCCTCCCCTGACACTAAGGTGAAAAACTGTGTTGTTCACAAGGGGAATCTCCAGTGCCCGGCGAGACAGAGCCATTGGCATCGGAGAATTTGATAGATTGAGCTGAGATGACGAGTTAAAGAGCGAGCTTGGTTTGTGCGAGACTGAGGCAAGGACGGAGGGGAAGCGCAAGAGGCGAGTAAACTGGGTCCATGGAGCAAAAAGAAGGTGAGAAGCTTGGAGTCGAGGGAGAAGCAATCACACACCATCGCATCTGGGTCGAATGGTTGAAGTGAGGGGGAGAAGCTTGAAGGGCAAAGATGGCAAATGAGGAAGGAAGTGAGGGAGGAACCCAGTTCCATAGGTATACGGGAGGAACCAAGTTCTATCACTTTTTATGGAAGTAGCTTCCTCAGATAAATGGGTTCCTGTGTACCAAACGTTCTATATTTAAGATTTCACTTCCACTTCCACTTCTCCGCCTTCAATTCCACTCTACCAAATAAGCCATTAATATAAGGAGTTTAACACATCTTACCCTTTTTATTTGAGCTAGTCAAACAAACTTACTCCTCTAATTTCTTGCCAACTTATTCCTCTAATTATGTTATTGCATAGATTATAAGCAAAAGAAAACTTTCGTAATATTACAACTTTAAAGATTAATTATATCTCTTATTTCTTAAATCAGATAAAAAAACATTATCATGATTGTTACACGCTCCAAGCTGTCATTATAGCACATGCTACATCAAGTATGCAGAAAGATAATTGATCAAGTGTACGTTTGGTAATCGGCATTGATAAAATGAAACACAATCAAAATGTGTTCTAACCCCCTTTTTTTTTTCAGGGATTTTAATGCTGTTTGATGAAGAAACTTACTTTCACACAGAAAAACAGAATAAAAAAAAATCTGTTTTAAACAAAAATACAAAGGAAGTTTAGCACTGATGAAAAAAGTTAATACAAAATAAATGCCTGACAAATATAAGACACGAAGTGATTAAAAATATTTAGTAGATGACCAAATCAATTATTGTTTTTTTTTTTTAAAAAAAAGAGCAGCCAAAAGAAGGTCTTTTTAATTTGACAGGATCTTGGGTATCATTTATATTCATTGATTTGGGTTGAATGCTGCTTCGCATGGAAAGCAAAGGTACGTTGTTGCAAGCATCAACTTTGAGACGTGCATTAAAATTTAATCTTATTTTAAATTATTCAAATAAAAACAATTAGAAACTTCTAAAATAATGACTATATATTTTAAATAATCTTTTAATTGTCTAGACGAATATATCGCAAAAGACAAAAGACAAGTATATAAAAAAAATGAAAACAAACATTATCAATACAGTTTTACCTTTTTTCAAGAGATTTCAATGTTGTTGGACAACGAGACCTCCTTTTTACTTTTTTACTTTTTTTTTTCTTTTCAAATTTGGAGCAGAACAAAGTGTTGAAGCAGAAATGAAAAGATTCTTCACAGCAATAGAAAAGAACACAATATCTGCCAAACGCATAGAGACCAAAATTTAGTACACTAGAAAATAATCGAAAAAAATTGCATAAAAGGCATGAACTTTAAACTGATTATGTGCAGCATTCATTACTTGGCATCCAAAAATTAATTTAAGGTTAACAATCTGTAGATCTTAAGAGTAATTATGAGCTTTTAACATTTCTCATTTTAGATTTCGGTATAAAATATCTATTTTTAACTTTTGGGCTGTTAATTTCTAGAGTCCTTGAGATTATTTTTCCTTTCTTTATTTGATTGTAATTCCTCATTTTCTTGTAAACTTAAGAGTATGAGAATCACACTAAGTTAAGTATTCTGATACTATTTGGCTAGTAAAAAAGGGGGAATACTTGTATTTAAAAATGGGAAAAAGTACATTAACTATATAAGCTTAATTAGATGTAATTTTTTATTAAAAATATTCTCTAAGAACTATATATATGACTAATGTTATTGCCATAAAACACTGTCAATTTTTTTTTTTTTCATTTTTTATGATCTTCTCCTGTGAAATTCATGTTGCCTTCATCCTTATAAAACTCTATAAATCCTTTACTTTTATAAAAAAATATATTATGAATGATACTATACTTTTGATATAATGTAATTATGATTAACTATAGAATGATGAGGGCAGGATTAATATAGAGGGGAGAATTTGTGAAAATTTGATCACCCATATAGCTATAATGTTTTTCACAATAAAAAGAAGTACTCTTAATACTCAAAATTTAAACCATTGTATTTATTTTTGACCATAGGAATATATATTAATTGTCAATAAATGTCAATATTATAATTAGTGCGCGTATATTGATCAGAATTATATAAAAAGCCAAAAGTGCAAACCTATTACTCTATTTGATCCTATTTATAAGTCACTTCTAGCATGTTTCACTAAAGCCAAAGAAAACATTACATCTTAGTAACTTTGTCTTAAAATTTCATAAGTTTTCATCTTTACTGCTAATAAATATTTTTAAATTTCATTACTAATATTTGTATTCAAAGCATTTAATAAGGGTAAAAATATAAAGAGAAGCATTGGAAATTGGTAAGTGCCCTATAAATAGAATCAAATTTTTTCTTCTCTCTCTACTTTATAGATGGAACCAAAGGAGCATATGTTAAAAGACAAAACTCTATGATAAACATGATAAAAAAAAACTATCAAAATAAATTCTCACCTTTTTTTGGTAGAGATTTCAATATTATTCAACAAAGAAACCTCTGTTTTGGAATATTTGAAGAATATCAAAATAATGAAGAGAAAAACGAAAAATCTTCACACTGCAGGATGACGAGAATGCAGAATCGGCCAAGCAAATGACAACAAAAGTTTTAGTTTTAGTAATTGAAGGATCATCACAAATGTATAGGGCAAGAGGAAAATTATATAACAATTTAAATGAAAGCACATATGTGTATGTGTGTGTTTTTTTAAAGCGATAATAAAATGCATTGACCATATAATAGGTTTTTTTTTTTCATCTTTGGAATGATATGATATATATAGTTTATACTTCTACTATATATGTTTTAAAATATTTTTCTATGATTTGTGGTGTGTGTGTATATATATTTGCCAATGATTTATGAGTATATGCCCCAAGGATAAGTTTATCCCAAAAAAGCAAGTTCTTTGAGTGAGAGTATTTGTTGGACTTATAAATAAACGGCACTTTTCTTATGAAACTTCTTGATGTAGGACTCATACAATATAGGACTCACATGAAGAAGTTATAGCATAATAAATTTACTATTCATCATGTTTCAAGTTACTATATATTGAGTTTTTCTACAATCACAAATAGTTTTTTTTTTAATGAGAAATGATACAAAGAAATTAAAATAGTTTATACTGAGACAAAATCAAGAGAAGACTTCATCTCATCATCCACCTCCTTGACAGTTAATCAAAAATAGTAAAAACACCTAAGTGATCCTAGGCATTACTAGTTAAGTAATGGGCACAAAAATTGGCTTCCCTAAACATAAGATTAACCTAAAAAAAAGTATTTTATGATCATTAGTTCTTGACAACATAAAAAAGTTAGAACCTAAACTTCTCACAAAGTTATAGGTATCCCATTATGAGGATTATTTTGCCCACTAATCATCAACTCACAATCCCTTTGAGCCATGAAAATAATTAATTTGAATATTTAAAATACCTCACCATATAATTTTCCTTTAGGTTTAAAATTTTTGATTGTTAAGTTACCAACTTTTCTATTGAGAGGCCTTGTATCCCAAGAAGTTGTCAATTGTTATTTGTTAAGTTGATTAACTCTCCAAAAAGGGTAAACAATCCAGTAAAATTTTGACACATAATCAAATGCTAACATAAATGAAGCATAGAAAGCACCGACATTTTAATCAAACTTATTATTGGATAGAAAAAACTGACAATATGCTAGTGTTGATATCACTGAAAATCATTCTCATATGTATAAAGCAAAGAACAATACACGTAGAGATGAGCATTTATATTATACACACCTCGATTGTAAAACTAAAAATTGAAGTAGCAACAATTGAGTCTTGACAACGATTGATCAATTGGACTTGTTGACAATTGGTGAAAGCAGGAATTGTAGAGAGAGTTATCTATTTTCTTAGCTTAATTATATATAATGAGAGCAAGAATCTCACAGGAGTGTGTGCCACTCAAAGGTGATCCTTCTTTAGTCTTTATTAGGGGAAAAAAGGGTGACAGTTTTCATCAAGCTCTCCTCAATGTTGTCATTGTCCATGTTCTTTGCTTCTTGCTTTGCGTGTGTCTGTGTGTTACTTTTTGAAATTATTTTCAGTCCATTATCAATTCCCTTATGAACTTCAAGCATTCCTCAAATACTTTTTCCCTCGAGAAGAGCAAGAGGAAGAGGCCAAGAAAGGCATAAAGCAGCCATGGAACTTCTTGTTCTTCAAGATATGCTTAGTATGTACATAAAGCAAGAAGCTTTGTATTAAGGACCAAAAAAAAAAAATTAACTTCATCTTATATACAATAAACCATGATACTCCCTCTGTTTTTTATTGTTAGAGAAACTACTACTTTTGATTTATATTTTTATAAGAAAAATCACTCATTTCAATAAGTATTTATTACACATTTCCTAAATCATTTCTCATAATTTACATTAATGATAAATAATTAATTTATACTTATGTTGATTAATATAAGGCATTTTAATTCACTAATTTTATTTTTAGACATAATTATTATAGTTAATTAACTTTCTTAAATTGTATGATACAGTTTTTTTCTTATATACAGAAAGAGAGGGAGCAGTTTGTAATCCATGATGAAAATTTATAGGTAGATGGAATCACTGTGGGAGCGTAAAAAACCCTGGAACTGAGTAAAAGTGGCTAAATTTATAAATAAAATTAGGGGAAAATCTCCAAAGAGAGAAAGGGCTAAAACCATATATGGAAGTTCACCAGAGAGGGCTCTTACAAAAGACTCTTTTTTGATTCATCGGTATTGAAATCATAATTAAGGAGCTTTGTGTTTGGGAATGGATAATAAAGTGGGTATATTCAGATGGATTTTGCTTTCATTTCCACGACAACGTATTGAAGCAGTTGAGGTCTAAAAGTCAAATATTAATGTCCTTGCTTCATTCCAATAAATTTCAACGAAACCCAAAATCTATTATCAGAGCCATCTGTGTTACACTTTAACCCACCCATGCTCTGCTTCATGGTTCCAGAGTTTGACTATCAATACCCTATCAACTATTGTGTTAAATTCATCATCATCATCATCATCATCCATTTCTATGAATTTTTTAGACACGTCTCTATAAAATAAAAATTTCAAAGCAATCCATATATATAGGGAAAATAGTTTTGGCAAAAATAAAAGAACGAGAAAACAGTTCAAAGCTTGTTCTCCCTTTTCAAACATTGATCTCACTAACTCACTATGTTATGTTTAAAACCAAGTAAAGCAGAGCTTTTTTAGGCGTTACGACTGCCGCCGCCGCTGCCACCACCACCACTACTACTTCTTTTGCCAATGAATAAGAAATTAGTATTACTTCCACTATCCTAAATTATATGACATTTTTAAAAGATTTTTTTTTGTTTCAAAATATAAGACATTTTGGATAGATTATGGTGTCATATTTTCATTAAATATACCAATTTCAATATTATTCTTTTTCTCTCCATAAATAATATATGTTCATTGTCTTTTTAATATATTAAATAATGAGTATTTTTAAAAATTTATATTTCTATTTTGAAAAGATAAGATTGTTGAGTGTACTTAATGAGATTTATTAACATGTGAGATTTTATTTAAAAGTATCTACAATTAGAGATGGAGGCTACTTATTATCATTATTATTTTGAAATGAAGTCAATATATTTATAAACACTAAATGATTACAACTAAAAGACCTTCAGACTAGACAAACCTAAAAGCCTAACAAAAGACACGGACTATAAAAACAGTGGAACAAAAATAAAAAGGAAAAATGACAATGAAGTCCTAAAGGACCAATTTTATACCAGTTAAGTCCCAAGTAATTGTAAAAGGCTAATAAAGTCCCATACTATTTTTCACAAATCAGACTTACGAAAGAAATGATGAAAATTCCCCTACGATTAAATATAACATGTACACTCATCAGCTCCAGTATTTCCCTCCCGATTTGTCTCTTTCCTGCCATTAATGAGAGCTGCATGTAAGTGGTGGGGCTGCATGTTAGAATACCCATTCCTAAAATAGATTTGTGCTTGGAAGAGGTGGAGTTGCCTTAATTATTGACTCAAAGAAGCTCAAGGAGTTGTGCTGGTGCGTTTAGACAAGCGTGTCCTTTTTTTCAAATCCCTGCATCTGAATAAAAAAGTTTACTCCATTAAGGTCTAATTTTCTTACAAAATGGCTCTCGTAAGGGAAAAGATGAAACGGTTTATTGCAACTGAACATGAAATATTTTTTTATTTCACATTTCTAAAGATTTGGTATAAAGATTTGACATTTTGCAATTGAAAGTGTAAGAATTTTTCATCGAGTGTCCATATTTTAAGATGGAACGCTGTCACTGCTTCACTGATGCAAAAATCACTTGTTTCTAAGTGATATGTTATTACATTTTATTTTGTTTATTCTAGGTTGATATAATTGGGTACGATGGAAAGTAGTTATTTCAAGGAAATGTTTTGTTATTTTCATTTTGATGGAGATATTGTAAAAGATATGCATGGGACAATGCATTATGATGGGAGGAGTTGTAATGGAAGAATGATTAGAGAAGGAATGTCTCTTGAAAGACTTGTTAGATTGATTTCATCATGCTTGAGTTGTGATTTAAATGGAATAGAGTTGAAGTACACAGTAAAGTTTGATTGTAATGCTCTTTTAGACCTTAAAGATGATGAAGGGATAAATCAATTAATGAAATTGAATGATAATTTTCCTCATGTGTCCATCATTAGGAAGATACAGCAAAGTATAGAAGCAACAAGAGATTCAATTGATGGGTAAGTTTTTTTAATAGTTACATGAAGAGAGGGCATATATAGAGATTATGGCAAAAGTCTAATTTATCGTCAAGCTTTAAGAGCGAAAGAGAGGGCATTGGTAGAAATAAATGGACTTCCTAACCAATCATATATGCTTGTTCCTTGGTTGTGTAATAGACTAATGGAGAATGATGCTGACACTGTAGCAAAATGGGTGGCTTCTGAGAACAATAGATTTGAACGTTTATTTATTACATTTGGTTGTTCCATTAAAAGATTCTTGCTTGGGGCTAGGCCTATTTTATATGTAGATAGATGTTTTCTCAATGGTCCTTATCAGGGTACCTTACTGGCAACTTCAACATATGATGCTAATAATGAGTTGTTTCCATTAGCTTTTACAATAGTTGGTAGTGAAACTCACAATAATTGGACTTGGTTTCTACAAAATATTAAAGATATCCTTGGTTCACTACAGGTAACTATTATTTCTGATAGAAATAATGCTATTATTGGTGTTGTTAGAGCCATATTTGGTGGCGATAGACATGCATTTTGCTATTGACATGTCAAGGAGAATTTTAACTCTGAGTTTAACAAAGTTTGTAAGGGAATGGGAAGGAACAGCAAGAAAGAAGCACTAAAGTTGCTTGATCACATTTCCTATGCAAGGCATGAGCATGAATTTCATATAACCATGAGAAATTTGAGGATGTTCTCTCCACAATTAGAAAGATGGGTTGAAAATCAAGGCGATGTTGATCGGTGGGCACTATCGTTGTTCCCATTTCAAAGATGGGATAAGATAACAACCAACTTGGCCGAATCATTCAATGTATGAATTTTTGAGGAGAGGAGGCATAATATGTGTTCTTATAAATGAGCATAGGGACAAGTTGAGCAAGAAATTTTTTATAAGTAAGGCAACTATGAGTAAGTGAAAAAGCATAGTTGGTCCAAATGTTAAAGCAAAGTTGAAGGAAAATATTTTGAGGGGCTCACATATTGCATTGGTTCGGACACCATGTGGACATGTATGTGTGAATCTAATACTAAAGGAATGTACATGCAAAGTTTGGCAAATGTCTGACATTCCTTGCCCACATGCTTGTGTAGCCATTAAAGAAGTACATGGTAATGTGTATAACTATGTCGATGAATGTTATCTTCGTAGCTCATAGGAGAAAATATACAATGGCACTATGAATTATGTTGAGACCCATGAGATGTCAAAGCCAAATGCGTTGACAATATCTAAGCTCATAAAACCAAACCTTTTTGCTGCCTCCTAAAACATCTCGATCAGCTAGTAGACCTCATCGTGTGAGGATTGAGTTTTCATATCAGTAAAAGAAGGTTTATCATTGTTCTCATTATCATGAAGTAGGTCGTATATGGAAGAGGTGTAGAAATCCAAATTCAAGTTGATGTTATTGTAAATGGATTACCACATGAACTTGGATTTAGGTGATATACATATATGGGTAGTTTTAGATCAAGTTAGATTTGGTTAACATATATAGGTTTTTGTACATATATATTGATAGTATTAGGGGATTTTTTTGGTACATAGCAACCCCTCTTTTATAAATCCAAGTTCATGCTTTTGTGTACGTGGAAGCATATGCATTAGATGAATTAATACATGTAGCTTATATGTACATTTCATATCTTCTGTAATTACTAAAAGTATGTTGTCTTAAAATTTTGAATAGAGGTTGCAAATTATTTATAAGGAAATTGCAAAATTTGATATGTCAGTTGCAAAGTACTAGAGTCATGTCCTAAAATAATTCGGGAGCTTTGCAAGTTCAAGAATTTAATAGTTATTCCACCTAAAATTTCAAGAAGGAGTTGCAAATGATTCATAATGAAGTTGCTTTTGGTATGTCAGTTGCAAATTATTGGAGTCATGTCCTAAAATAATTTGGTAGCTTTGCAAGTTTAAGAATTCAAAAGTTATTCCACCTAAAATTTCGAGAATGAGTTGCAAATTATTCATAAGGAAGTTCCAAAATTTAGTATGTTAGTTGCAAATTACTAGAGTCATATCCTAAAATAATTTGATAGCTTTGCAAGTTCAAGAATTTAAAAGTTATTCCACCCAAAAT